TGATGCTCTCCTTGCCCATTGTAGGCATTTTTGGCAGTTGACAAGGGTCACAGGCCAGCATGGGCACCCTGACTGGTCTATGGTCTGTGATAGCCTTTATATAGCATGTGAGTATATGTGGCAGTCCTTGTCTTTTACCTCCTCTCTGTTCCAGTGCTACAACCTTTGGCAAAGTCTTCAGTGATCAACACCTTTAGGCATGTTGGATGGCTGTGTCTCTCCACCACTTCCATCCTTCTATCTCTTTATCACTGCTGTTTTTGACAGTTTTTTGACAGGGGGTCAGAGGATTGAACCATGGCACTCATTGGGGTACACAGGCAACTCAAATGTTAAAACCGTTGAAGGTGTCATCATTATTTACTTAGCAGATAGGCTGAGAGGAAGGAAAGAAGTTCCTTATGGTTATTCCCAGAAATTAAAATTACTTCTGCAATTATGTGTGATGCAGCCCAGCCAGAGAGGGATAAAAAGGGAGGATGAACAGCCATCAGATCATTTCAGGAGAGGTAAGTGTTATTTGCTCCCTCAAACTCAGAACAGCAATGCAGCTTTTTTAGGACAAGAAATGATTGTTATTTATTACAGGTATTACATAGTGGCAAAAATGTATGCAGCACTTTACATACTGTACATTGTTAAAGCAGAATGCTAGCATTAGTAAATAGATAGGAAAGTATGTAATTATTATTATTATTATTATTCAGGATTTATATAGTGCCAACAGCTTGCACAGCGCTTTACAATATAAAGGGAAACACTAAAGGTATTATAAAAAAAAAGAACAAGAGAATTAAGAGGGCCAGACTCATAAGAGCTTACAATCTAATATGTACTTGTTTAAAAAAATTTTATTTACATTTCTTCAGTTACTTCCAGTTTTCTTGCCTAGGCCAATGATGTCATACATCTCAGGAGGAGGAGAGGAGGAGATTTTTCAGCTAAGCACCACCTTCCTGCCTGCATGCCCGAGACAAGGGCAGATAGATTCCAGGGAGATAAATGCTACACAAATCATCTGTCCTTATTCAAGATGGCTAGGGCCAGAAATGGTGGTGATGGTGGTGGGGGGTGGGGGGTGGGTTAAAGTGATTTCTCTACAAAATTAGGCATGGAGACATGGATGGATGGGTTATGAGTATTAAAAATGAATTAAATATTGTTTTAGTGGTGCTCAGATACAGTGTAGTTCCTCTTTAAGGAACTGATAATCTTGGGTCCCTAAAATGCACTAGGACCAATTTACCTACCAGCATGTCTTTGGAGTGTGGGAGGAAACTGGAGGACCCAGAAGAATCCTACACAAGCACAGGAAGAACATGAAAACAGTGTCCTGGCTGGTATTTGAATTAGGAACTCTAGTGCTGCAAGGCAGAAGTGATAACCACTTATGAGATCTACCTAAAGATCCATATAGGAGAATCAGAACCTTCTTCTTTATTCTGGTGACTCCTCTAGTGATAACTAAAGATCATCTGTATATAGAGAAATCAGGACTTCCTTCCTCCTGCTGGTGATCCCTCTAGTGATAAAAAGATCTATATAGAGAAATCAGGACCTCCTTCCTCCCGCTGGTGATCCCTCTAGTGATAAAAAGATCTATATAGAGGAATCAGGACCTCCTTCCTCCTGCTGGTGACCCCACTAGTGATATAAAGATCTATATAGAGGAATCAGGACCTCCTTCCTCCTGCCGGTGACCCATCTAGTGACATAAAGATCTATATAGAGAAATCAGGACTTCCTTCCTCCTGCTGGTGACCCCTCTAGTGATATAAAGATCTATATAGAGGAATCAGGACCTCCTTCCTCCTGCTGGTGACCCCACTAGTGATATAAAGATCTATATAGAGGAATCAGGACCTCCTTCCTCTTTCTGGTGACCCCTCTAGTGATATAAAGATCTATATAGAGGAATCGGGACCTCCTTCCTCCTGCTGGTGACCCCACTAGTGATATAAAGATCTATATAGAGGAATCAGGACCTCCTTCCTCTTTCTGGTGACCCCTCTAGTGATATAAAGATCTATATAGAGGAATCGGGACCTCCTTCCTCCCGCTGGTGATCCCTCTAGTGATATAAAGATCTATATATAGAGGAATCAGGACCTCCTTCCTCTTTCTGGTGATCCCTATAGTGACATAAAGATCTATATAGGGGAATCTGGACCTCCTTCCTCCTGCCGGTGACCCCTCTAGTGATATAAAGATCTATATAGAACAGTGGTTCTCACCCTTCCTAATGCCGCGACCCTTTAATACAGTTCCTCATGTTGTGGTGACTCCCAGTCATAAAATTATTTACCCAGTAATTATAATTCATGAAGTGTTGTTTTACCTCCAATACTGCTGCTTTCAACACAGCAGCTGCTTTCTACACAGTAGCTGCTCTTTACACATCGGAAATATGTGTTTTCTGATGGTCTTAGGTGACCCCTGTGAAAGGGTCGTTCGACCCCCAAAGGGGTCATGACCCACAGGTTGAGAACCACTGATATAGAGGGATCAGGACCTCCTTCCTCCTGCTGATGATCCATCTAGTGATATAAAGATCTATGTAGAGGTTTTACAATACAAAGTTTTGAGCATTCTTTTCTTTTGGCAGAAAAATCTGACTTTGTGTCCTGGCATCATCATGATTAGTCTTTTTGTCCTTCTGTCAGTGCTCTGTGCTGCTGTGAATGCTCAAGGTAAGTGCTCAATATTTGTTTTTATTCTTTCACTTTTAGTATGCTGTGTTGTGTTTTCCATACTTGGGCCTTTTACAGCTGTGCTCAAAAGTTTGCATACCTTGGCAAAAATCACAACATTTTGCCATTGATATTGAATATATGACTGATAGTGCCAAAGAACTGTCCTATTTAAGGCTAGTGATCATATGAAGCCATTTATTATCAAATACCGTATTTGCCGGCGTATAAGACGACTGGGCGTATAAGACGACCCCCCTACTTTTCCTGCTAAAATTTAGTGTTTGAGCTATACTCGCCATATAAGACTACCCCTCTTCCAATGCACACCAGTGGCAGGAATAGTGCCCCATCATTGGTATCAGTGGCAGGAATAGTGCCCCATCATTGGTATCAGTGGGAGGAATAGTGCCCCATCATTGGTATCAGTGGCAGGAATAGTGCCCCATCATTGGTATCAGTGGCAGGAATAGTGCCCCATCATTGGGATTAGTGGCAGGAATAGTGCCCCATCATTGGTGTCAGTGGGAGGAATAGTGCCCCATCATTAGTATCAGTGGGGGGAATAGTGCCCCATCATTGGTATCAGTGGGGGGAATAGTGCCCCATCATTGGTGTCAGTGGGAGGAATGGTGTCCCAACATTGGTGTCAGTGGGAGGAATGGTGTCCCATCATTGGTGTCAGTGGGGGGTGGAATAGTGCCCCATCGTTGATGTCAGTGGGGGGGAGGAATAGTGCCCCATCGTTGGTGTCAGTGGGGGGGAGGAATAGTGCCCCATCGTTGGTGTCAGTGGGGGGGGGAATAGTGCCCCATCGTTGGTGTCAGTGGGAGGAATAGTGCCCCATCGTTGGTGTCAGTGGGAGGAATAGTGCCCCATCATTGGTATCAGTGGGAGGAATAGTGCTCCATCATTGGTATCAGTGACACCAATGATGGGGCACTATTCCTCCCACTGACACTTGCTGACCCTGTTCTCGTATGGTGCTGCTGCAGCCAGCATATGTGGTTGCAGCAGCACCTCTACACTGACCACTTACCTGCTGGTCCTGCACTCGATTTTCGCGGGGTCCGCTCGGCTCCACCCCCTCGCCGGTGATTGGCCGCCTGTGTGCCTTTCCTGAGCTACAGTTCTGGCGGCCAATCACTGGTGAGGAGGCGGAGCCGAGCAGCCGCACGAACATCCAGTGGCGAACTGAAGGCGCAGCCGCGCTTCCTGGACCGGATCGTCGTGGGACCGGAACCAGGTAAGAAACAGCCGCTGCCCACCCCTGTACTTAGTGTCCCTTCCATTGGGGGAAGGGGGGGGGCGGCGGCGGCAACGCGCCGCCCCCCTAAAAAGTGTCAGTATGCCGTATACCGGCGTATTAGACGACCCCCTACTTTTGAGAAGATTTTCAAGGGGTAAAAAGTCGTCTTATACGCCGGCAAATACGGTAGTTGTTTGGCTCCTTTTGAAATCCTAATGATAACAGAAATCTCCCAAATGGCCATGATTAAAAGTTTCCATACCCTGGAATGTTTGGCCTTGGTACAGACACACAAGGTGACACACACGGGTTAAAATGGCAATTAAAGGTTAAGTGTCTGTGCATAGTCAATGTGTTAGCTCTCACATGAATGCACTGAGCAGGCATTTATCATTTTCCTTCCACTTCACAATTATGTGCCACTTTGTGTTGGTCTATCACATAAAATCCCAATAAAATACATTTACGTTTTTCGTTGTAACATGACAAAATGGTGGAAAATTTCAAGGGGTATGAATACTTTTTCAAGGCACTGTATAAATACATAAGGGGGATATGATCACCATGTGTAAATATATATGTGGTCCATATAGTAAACTTGGTGTCGAGTTGTTCAGTTAAAAGTCATTCCAAAGAGCAAGGGTACACTGTTTGCACCTGGAGGAAAAGAGGTTTAACCTCTGCTTACAGAAAGGCTTCTTCTCAGTAAGAGCTATAAAAAAAAGTAGAATAGGCTCCCTTAGGAACCAATTCTAGTAAACTCATTAAAAAAAAAATCTGGATGTATTTCCAAAACCACATCATCTAACTGGGTATTAATATTACACTAGAGATTGTTGACCCAGGAGTTTTTTCACCTTCTTCTGGATCAACTGTGGGTAAAGGGTTCTGTTTATGGAGGTTTTCTATTATTGGTTGAATCCAATGGACTTGGGTCTTTTTCCAAAATACTTATGTTATTATATACCGTATATATTTATCAGACAAAAAGGTGACAGATTAGAGAAGTTCATGGTTAAGGTTTGGGTACGCTTTGATTTTTAATATCACTATTCACAGTTTGCCCAACTATAATAAGGAGAGCAGAGTGGGGAGGCAAGACCCCCACATGCAAGAAGTTGTCTACTCCAGTAGAGAATGTCATCATCCACCACACGGAAACACCACCCTGTAACTCTAGAGCTACGTGCAGCAATCAAGCCAAGAACATACAGAATTATCACATGAAAACCAGAGGCTGGTGTGACATTGCATACAAGTGAGGAACAAAGCAGAATTGTAAATGTAACACTGTGCAATACTACTGTAATGTAGATCTTTATTTTGACCATAAGATGGCAGTGTTCAGCCACTCTGTTCATTGTAAGTCCCAATGGAGGAGTGCAGAGCTTGCTGGGACTTGTAGGCTGAAAGCAGAACTTTTCCTACAGTCTAGCTGAGATCAAACTACACAGTTCAGGAGCAATTTCCAAGGGGTAGGAACATATAAAAGAAAAAGCCCAGGAACATGGGGGGAGAGGACTGAGAGACTTTGCTATTGGAAAGACGTTTGTGGGAGCACTGTGTGAAGCAGTATGGACCCAGTCCAGTTCGGCTTGAGCGAGAAAGCCCTAAGTAGCTGTCATAGTAGTCACATGATCAGGAGCACATCCTGCCAAAGACCGGTAGCTGTCTGTGACAGCTCAGTCACTAGGTTGGGAGTATGTAGTGAGCATGCTCCTAGAAAACCTTGGCCAACACGGACACATACAGTATGTGCGGCTTGTGGGGTGCCCTCCATGCTGTAGCACATACAGTTAGGTCCATATATATTTGGACACAGGCACAATTTTAGTTTTTTTCAGGTATTTACCAAAACATATTCAAGCTATATTTATATAATGGATATGGGCTGAAAGTGCACACTTTAATTTGAAGGTATGTACATCCAAATTGGAGGAAGGTTTAGGAATTACAGCTCTTAAGAGTACCATCCACCCTTTTTTAAGGGACCAAAAGTAATTGGACAATTGAATATAAGGTGTGCACTTTCATCCCATATCCATTATATACAGTAACTATAGCTTGAATATGTTTTGGTAAATACCTGAAAAAAACTAAAATTGTGCCTTTGTGTTAAATGGTTGGCAAGAGGTTGACCAAATGTTAGCTCCAAGTAGATCAACTGTTGAACTTGGCAAAGTCTGCTGGGTGACCAACATGTCACTTTGCCTTGAATGGCAACTTTAAAGATAATGGGGTTAAATCACTAAAGATTACTGCATGCGATAACATGGTGACTCATTTGCATTAATTATTGCATGCTGTAAAAAAATGTCCAGTTCACAAAAAAAAACAATTTTGTGGTATTTAACGCAAAATTAAAAATGTGCCATTAAATATTGCAAAAAAAAAAAAAAACATGCGGTAAGCTATTGAGTCCAATTCACAAACAGAACAGAAAGTAAATAAAGATGTGATATTTATCACCAGGGTTTCGCTGGCGGTATCACATGCAGTATTTTTTCAAATGCGGCTTGGGGATCCCCCCCCAATCCATACTGGGCCCTTCGGGTCTGATATAGATATGCCAAAAGTAATGTATTAACCACTTCCAGACCGGACACTTTTACCCCCTTCCTGACCAGGGCAATTTTCAGCTTTCAGCGCTATCACACTTTGAATGACAATTGCGCGGTCATGCAACACTGTACCCAAATGAATTTTTTACCATTTTTTTGATACAGATAAAGCTTTATTTTGGTGGTATTTATTCACCGCTGGGATTTTAATTTTTTTTGCTATGTAAATGAAAATGTCCAAAAATTTAAAAAAAAAAAGTGTTTTTTTATACAATTTTGCAAATAAATAATATTTCATCATAAATCTTGCCCAAAATTTATTATGTTATCTTTTTAGTAAAAAAAAAAAAAAAATCCAAATTAGTTTATATCCAAAAATTATAATTTTTAAACATTTTTTTTTACATTTTTATTTTATTTTTTTTATTTTTTATTTTTTTTTACATACTGTCACCCTAGCCAACCATGGTGACACTGTACTACTTGTGGGGGGTAATGAAGATTTTTTTTTTTTACACTGATTACTTTTACACCCATATAGGATGTAAAAGCAATCATTTCTCTTTCTCTCTGTCTGCATTCTTGCACTCATTGAGAAGTACTGAGTGAGCTGTGATTGGTCACAGCTTGTCACATGGTACAAGGCTGTTGTGAATAGCCTTGTACCATGTGACCTCTGTGATCATTCACAGATTTCACACGTAGTAAGCAATGATGTCACAAGTGACACCTTGCTTACTACTTTGCATGTGATCACTGATTGGCCAATCAGTGATCACATGATCGGGACCTCGTACAGAGGTCCCGTCCGACGATCAGTGTTTCACTGTGTCTGGAGGACACAGCGGGCACCGGATTTCGGTGCAGCGCGCTCCCAGGGAGCGCGCACAAGCAGGGTGCGGGGAGGCCATTTATAAATGGCCACCCGACCCTGCAGTGCCACCGTCCGGCCCGTTTATATGCAACGGCCGGTCGGGAAGTGGTTAGGAAAAAAATAATTTTGGTATGGAGTTCCCCTTTAAAATCTATACCGGACCTAATGGTCTAGTAGGGATTTGGGGGAGACCCAGCGCTGTATTTTTTTTTTTTTTTTTATTAATTTTGGGGTTCCCCTTAAAATTCATACTAGACCAAAAGGGCCAGGTATGGATTTAGGGGGGACCCCCACGCTGTTTGTTTTTTCATAATTTTTGCATTTAGATGTCATCCATTGTCATCCATTGTTAAGGACGTGATGGCCGGCTCCCCAGCTACTGTGTGATAAATTACCGCATGAAAATATGTGGCAATTACCGCAATATCAATATTTTACAGCACAAGTTATTCACCACAAAATGCTTAGTGAATTGCACATTTGCAAGAGATTTACCGCATGCGTTATTTTACCAATCGTTATTTGCTGTAACTCTTGGTGAATTGACTCCAAAGGGCAGTGGTTTGTCACCTCTTTTATATTTTCTGTCTTTATTTACTGTGGCTGTGACTCAAAAAAAAAAATTATATATATCTATATATACATATATATATATATATATTTTAGGTGAATATGAAATATTGCATATGAACATCTGGTAGTCTTATACACAGCCAGTAGGGGATGATTGACAGTGCCAGAACAGGGGTCAACTAGCACCCAGGGCAAACATACAAAGTCGCGCCGCCCCCCCCGATGTATTTGTAGTATTTGTCAGTAGTATTTGTCAGCAAAAATCCCCCCCCCCCCGCAAAAAAAAAAAAACACGAGCACTAATCTGCATGCCTACCCCTAAGCAAAATTCCCCCTCCTCCCAGTACAAATCCCCAAGTATCCAGTTTGCAATGTAAGGAACTCTCCTTGTGGTGCCCTACCAGCTCACATGATACCACGGTGCCCAGGGCAGCTGCCCCTGCTGCCCCCCCCCTTGTATCAGCTCTGATGATTGAGGTTCCATTTCATTGTGATCAAACAGAGTAATCATGGTAAAATTCTTATTGCTACAAAAAATGACCGAATTTGCCTTTATCAAGGTACATGTTTCCAACACACATACTGGCCAGCCAGCAAACAAATTAAGTACTGTGGGTAGCATAAATATTTTGGGGTGCGGGTGACAGTTGCAGCCAACATGACTAGCATTCAAAATTCTGTCCCACATTATCTCAAGGGGTTGGAGGCTGTTTTGTATGCATAGCATAGTATTCTGATAAACGGTCATCCTTCAATGTTTTCTTCACAGCTTTCTCATTGGAGAGGATGGAGCTGCTGTGTATGAAGGTCGCGGTTGGACAATTCAAGGAGGTCATGCCAAGGAGGTCTATAACCCTATCTCCATTGGGATCAGCTTCATAGGAACCTTTACTAGTAAGTGACGGGGCACAGAATTCACAAAGGATAAAACTAGGGGCTAAGTATATACAGGGTTCAGCTCTGAAGAGGCCACTGAAACTTGACAGGTTCTCCTAAGGTAGTATAGAGACTACCAATCAGAGACACAGTATTGCACACCGACAACACAAGCTCAGTCTAAGGCAGATTTTTTCAACCAGGGTGCCTTGAAGTTTCTTCAGGGGTGCCTTGACAAAATGCCTAAACATTGCTCAAAAATTGTATACAAGCCAGCAGGTGGATCAAGCCTGCCTTTTAGTTACACAAAGTCATAGGTTTTCATTGTGCACCATATGACCTTCTAGCTGCCGACATTTTAACAACCAATGATGCCATCAGTTGATATGGAGGATGTTAGTCGCCTACACGGCATCCTTGTTTGACCCTCCCCTGCCCCTCTCTTTCAGTAATGGGGTCAAATTAGCTAAGTGATAGAGTGAAACTGAGGGAGAAGAGAAACATTGGAATACTAGTCAGTGAGCAGTGTACTAGTATGTGCTTTGGGAGAAAAAAATGACCTCTAACGTTGGGTATCCTACATATGTGGGTGTTGCTGCATTAGGCAAAACTATTAGAATAGTTTTTTTTAACATTTCAGAATAGGGTGCCTTGAGAATCTCCATAATTTTAAAGGGTGCCTCAAGATTGTTCTTAATTTTAACGGGTGCCTTGACTGAAAAGAGGTTGAGAAACATTGATCTAAGGGTTGTCTTTTTGTGAATTCATTACAGGGATCTTGAACTTTAGAGGGATCGGAGTAAAGAATACTCCAAAAATGATATCAGGAATCAATAGGACAGATTTCTTATCATAAATGCTTATGGTAGTAGGCACACAGAGCTTACTCACAATGTCCCACGAGCTTTCTGCCACCCAGTGCCCACATAACACCCTTCTATGAGGGAGACAAAAGATCCTTCTCCAGACCAGGACTTCAGAACAGTGCACTGAAGCAAAAAAAAAAAAAAAAACTTTAGCAATCTTCTTAGCAGAATCTTCTACAGACTTCTTAGCCCAAATGGTTTTAGTAATAGGCACACAGGGCTTACTGACAATGTCCCAGGACATTTCTGCCACCCAACTTCCACATGACACTCTTCTGTGAGGGAGACAAAAGATCCTTCTCCAGACCAGGACTTCAGAACAGTGCCCTGAAGCAAAAGAAAAGAAACCCTTTAGCAATCTTCTTAGCAGAATCTTCTACAGACTTCTTAGCCCAAATGTGTATAGTAATAGGCACACAGGGCTTACTCATGATGTCCCAGGAGATTTCTTCCACATGATACCCTTCTGTGAGGGAGACAAAAGATCCTTCTCCAGGCCAGGACTTCAGAACAGTGCCCTGAAGGAATAAAATAAACCTTTTAGCAATCTTCTACAGGTCCTAAGCCCAGCACTTACTGAGGCCCAAACTGCAACTCTTGACTCCCAGGGGCAGCAGCCCCAGGAGAAGAGGAACCCTCCTAGCCAAGGAAGAACACCCTGCTCAGGCCTCTCAAACATTTATCATCTCCTTTCCACATTCTGGACACACCCTTTCAGGGATTGATTGAAGTATAATAAATATTCATAACTGAGTGATTGACTCTCCCTGCTCTTTTTTCTGGAAGCTTCTCCCAGAAATAGGTAGAAGTAATCAGTCACCCAGCTTAGGAAACCCAAGCCAAAAACCAAATTTAGCCTAACAGGAGCAGGACTCTACATACAGTATAATAAATAGACAGATTGCAGTCTCTATGACAGGTATTTCTCCTTTTTTCTCAGTTTATTAACCACTGCACCTCCGGAAGGTTTTACCTCCTTCATGACCAGAGTAATTTTTTTTGCTATTCAGCACTGTGCTACTTTAACTGGCAATTGTGTGGTCATGCAACGCTGTACCCAAATGAAATAGTTCTTTTTTTTTTTACAAAAATACAGCTTTCTTTTGGTGGTATTTGATCACCACTGGGTTTTTTAGTTTTTGTTATATACCTGTAAATGAAAAAAAGACAGAAAACTAAAGAAAAATACAATTATATTTTCACATTTCTGTTCTAAAACATATCCAGTAATTAAAAAAAAAATCTAATTTCTTCATAAATTTAGACCAAAATGTGTTCTGCTACATGTCTTTGGTAAGAAAAAAATCCCAATAAGCGTATATTAATTTATATATTTATATATTAATATTTGATTTGGTTTGTGCCAAAGTTATAGTGTCTGCTAAACAATGGGATATATATATATATATATATATATTCGAATTTACGCAGCTATAGAAGCTGTACTGTAATGACGGTGATCAGTTACTTATTGTGTGACTGTGATAGGGTGGCGGGCAATCTGGAGCTAGCAGACACTATATGGGAGGGTCACTGACACTGATGCCGCTAGTGACACTAATACAGTGATCAGTGATAATGTTGTACACTGACACTGTACTGACACTGGCTTGGAAGGGGTTAACATCTAGGTGCAATCAAGGGGTTAACTGTATGCCTAATAATGTGCAATGTGTGTAATATGTGCTGCTTTTACTTTACTATCTGGCTCCCTGCACAGCTCAGCGATGCAGTGAGCATGGAAGGGGCAGAGCACAGAGCTGGTGACTGACTGTCCAGGCTCTCTGCTAAGAGCGGAGGGGAGAACTGAGCATTCAGCGGTGTTTGATCGCTCAGTTCTCAGTGCAGAGCTGGTGGGGGACAGATGCAGCAACGGATCGATGCTGTTTTCACCTAGGTGAGTATATATTTTTTTTATTTTGGGAAACCCATACTTCTCTTTTGAACTTTATGGGGTCAATTCACAGGTTATCGCTTAAGATATGAAAGAAATGTGACTCATTTTTTTGGAGATATCATGAGATAATATAAAAGAGACAATTCATCAAAGTAAAATATCGAATGTGAGACATCTTGAGATATCATGAGATAAATCATTAAAGTGTTACTAAACCCACTCCCCCTGCACTCACTATATCCGCTCTCCCTGGACCCTGCACTCACTATATCTGCTTTCCTGGACCCTGCACTCACTATATCCGCTCTCCGCGGACCCTGCATTAACTATATCCGGTCTCCCTGGACCCCGCATTCACTATATCTGGTCTCCCCGGACCCTGCATTCACTATATCCGCTCTCCCCGGACCCTGCATTCACTATATCCGCTCTCCCCGGACCCTGCATTCACTATATCTGGTCTCCCCGGACCCTGCATTCACTATATCTGGTCTCCATGGACCCTGCATTCACTATATCCGCTGTCCCTGGACCCTGCATTCACTATATATCCAGTCTCCCCGGACCCTGCATTCACTATATCCGGTCTCCCTGGACCCTGCATTCACTATATCCGCTCTCCCCGGACCCTGCATTCACTATATCCACTCTCTCCGGACTCTGCATTCACTATATCTGGTCTCCCCGGACCCTGCATTTACTATATCTGGCCTCCCAGGTCCCTGCATTCACTATATCCGATCTCCCCGGACCCTGCATTCACTATATCTGCTCTCCCACAGTACACAGAACATGGAAATGCAATTATTTTAGTACACAAACTGCTAAATACCTTTTCTCATCAGCAGCATAAAGTAGTCTCGTGACTTCTATCAGTGTCTGGCTGAGCACTGGTTATTCTTTTAGGAGGAGTTTTCATTCTGCTCTGACTGTCCTATGAGGCTGCATAAGCCCTGACCCTCTGTTTTGACAGCGCTGATTGGTTCTGTGCTGGTCACATGCAACCTCCGAAAGAAAAAAAGAACTCTAGCAAAACACTAAACTGAGCATGTGCAGAGTGACTCCTAGAGCTCTGTACTATCAGCAGATGGATTGAGGATAGTAGAAGAAGAGGAGGATCAGAGAAGACAGGAACAAACAACCTTTTTACACAATGGATTAACTCCTTAGGTTCCACAGTGAGTATAACAAGCATATTGCCGTGCCCTAAATGTGAGATATGAATACTTCCAGAAATAATGAACCTTCCAAGTCAACTTATTACAACTTCAAAATAAATCAATAATAGAATGTGAAAAAAAAAAGTGAAAAAATATCATAATATAAGTAATTTAAATAATAAAAATGAATAGTGTCCAAAAAAAGTCTATATAAATTTGATTAAAGTTGATTAGTCAAACAAGATTGCAGATGGATTCTTGCTGGAATATAGATACTTGTATGCGCTCACCTTCCATTAAGCCAGTGTTTCTCATCTCCAGTCCTCATGGACCCCCAACAGGTCATGTTTTCAGGATTTCCCTCAGATGAAACAGCTGTGGTAATTACTAAGGCAGTGAAACTGATCACATCACCTGTGCAAAATAATGGAAATCCTGAAAACATGACCTGTTGGGGGTCCATGAGGACTGGAGATGAGAAACACTGCATTAAGCCCACTGCTGGGCTAACACAGCTTTATGGTGTTTATCCTTGATGGATATCTTTAGAGACTCCCTTGGATACTCCTGATGGTTGATAATGGATGATTGTGGGTCTGTGGGTTAGCTTTTTCTCATGTCAATAAAAAGTGCTCCATCTCCTTGTATAAGGCACCTTGTACCTCGTTGGTATAGTGGGGAAAAAAACGTACATGGTGCCTTATCGTTTTTTAAAAGAACAATTTTATTCACAACTTCTTCTTATGCACTCACAAGTATTCAGTATAAAAAGCGCTGAGTTAAAATCACATCCCCCGGACGAAGCCACGTGTCCCTGTGGCGCAACGTGTTGGGGAGGGGCTTTGACGTCACCACAGCAACCCCACTTCACGACGAGTATAAGTCAGGATTTCCATTATTTTGCACAGGTGATGTGATCAGTTTCACGTGATATTTTTTCACGTTTTTTGTTTTTTTTTTTTTCACATTCTATTATTGATTTATTTTGAAGTTGTAATAAGTTGACTTGGAAGGTTCATTATTTCTGGAAGTATTTATATCTCACATTTAGGGCGCTGCAAAAGGCAATCAATTTATTGTACATTACTACAAAACACATTTATATGAGGAAGTGAATAGATGCCTGCTGACCTATATATTTAATTATTATCTCATACCTCAGTGGCTCGCAATTACCGTATTTTTCGCTCCATAAGACACAGTTGACCATAAGACGCACCTAGGTTTTAGAGGCAGAAAACAGGAAAAAAAATATTCTGAACCAATGGACTGCAGACACAGTACAGGAGATGACCAAAGACTGCGGTCATAGTACAGGAGATGACCAGAGACTGCGGACATAGTACAGGAGATGACCAGAGACTGCGGACATAGTACAGGAGATGACCAGAGACTGCGGACATAGTACAGGAGATGACCAGAGACTGCGGACATAGTACAGGAGATGACCAGAGACTGCAGACATAGTACAGGAGATGACCAGAGACTGCGGACACAGTACAGGAGATGACCAGAGACTGCGGACATAGTACAGGGGATGACCAGAGACTGCGGACATAGTACAAGAGATGATCAGAGACTGCAGACACGGTACAGGAGATGACCAGAGACTGCAGACATAGTACAGGAGGTGACCAGAGACTGCAGACATAGTACAGGAGATGACCAGAGACTGCGGACAGTACAGGAGATGACCAAAGACTGTGGACATAGTACAGGAGATGACTAGAGACTGCAGACATAGTACAGGAGATGACCAGAGACTGCGGACAGTACAGGGATGACCAGAGACTGCGGGCAGTACAGGAGATAACTGCTGACCTTTGGGGAGGGGGGGGAGCAGGTACCTGAATTTGACAGGTAACCGCTCTTACGTCCGCGGAGTTGTTCTTTGGTTAGCGTCCGCTCTGCAGCGGGACCTTACCTGTTCCTCTATCCAGCTGCGCGCTGTCTTACCGGCTTCTGTAGTGTCGGCACTCGGCTTGACAGCCGGGTGCCCAGTGCGCATGAGCGAGAAGCGCTGTGCTTTGTGATTGGTCCGTTGGCTTCTGGGACCTGTCATGTGTCCCAGGTGCCGCCTTACCATTCACAAAGCACACCGCTTCTTGCGCATGCGCACTTGGCACCCGGCTGTCAAGCCGAGTGCCGACACTACAGAAGCTGGTAAGACAGCGCGCAGCTGGATAGAGGAACAGCTAAGGTCCCGCTGCAGAGAGCTGAGCGGCCGGCCCGGTATTCTGACACGGCGGCGGTGGAAATACCGGACCGGCCGCTCCATATTCGCTCTATAAGACACACTGACATTTTCCCCCCTTTTTTGGGGGGAAAAAAGTGCGTCTTATGGAGCGAAAAATACGGTAATTATAATATATATTATGAGTATAACAAGCGTGCTTTACTGCATCTACAGACTGATTTTACTGTCGTGGATTTAGTAGCACTTATAAGTCAATTTACTAAAAAACACACACATTCAATATCACCTGGTGTTTTCTAGCCTTAGAAATGTACAAAATAACAATTAGAGGAACTCTGCACTGGCCAGGAATTGAAAAGTATACAATGCCTCAGTGTGAAAATGTTCTCCTGTAATGAATTGTTACATTTTATCAGAGGGAGATCATTTTGTGAATGAAAGCACACTAGAATGTTTCCATATTTTCACATTTCTGTGTGCCTTCTAATGCAATGTTAGCCTGCAAAAAAATAAAATTGCCTAAAATAAAAATGCCAAAAATAATGCAAAATTTAAATGTTAAATATCACAAAACAGAAATATTTAAATCATTCTGTAAATAACGCATTTTTATAGTGTTTTGATTACTTTTTAGATAAATACCGCATGAGTTATTTTAACTCAAAATTCATGCAGTATGGAATTAGTGAATGGACCCCTATGAGAGGCTGATGGTTGCTGCGAGTGGACGAGGATGGATAGTTCACCGAGCAATACTAAAGTTTAGGGCAGTATGCACTCCGGGATGAATACCCAGAACACAAGCAGGACAGGAGCACTGCCGATGCGGGTGGATGTTTCTAAATGTACCCCTGCATCCATTGCCTGTGCACGCTCCCTGGGAGCGCGCGGGCACCACGATCCGGTGCCCACTGTGTCTGAAGGACACAGCAGAACACAGATCGCTGTACGGGACCTCTGTGTGAGGTCCCGATTCATGTGATCCCTGATTGGCCAATCAGTGATTACATGAATAGTATTAAACAAAATGTTATTTCCTGACATCATTGCTTACTACATGTGAAATCTGTGAATGATCACAGAGGTCACATGGTACAGGGCTATTCACAACAGCCTTGTGCCATGTGACAAGCTGTGACCAATCACAACTCACACAGTATTTCTCAATGGCTACAGGAATGCAGCTAGAGAGAAGGAGAAATGATTGCTTTTACAGGCTTTATGGGTCAGTGTAAAAAAAGAAAAAAAAAATCTTCATCACCCCCCACAAGTAGTACAATGTCACTATGGTGACACTGTACTGCTAGGATGATAGTATGTTAAAAAAAAAAAAACATAATTAATAATATATAAAAAAAATAATAAAAATGTAAAAAAATTTAGAAACATTATAATTTTTGGTTATAAACTAATGTGGGTTATTATTTTTTTACTAAAAAGATAGGTGAATAAATTTTGGCCAAGATTTATGAAGAAAGACTATTTATTTGCAACATTTTTTAAGAAAAAACACTTTTTCAAAAATTATGGACTTTCTCATTTATATAGAAAAAAAATAAAAATCCCAGTGGTGAATAAATGCCACCAAAATAAAGTTTTATCGGTCTCAAAAAAATGCTAAAAAAGTCATATGGGTAGAGTGTTGCATGACCGTGCAATTGTCATTCAAAGTGTGATAGCACTGAAAGCTGAAAATTGGCCTGGACTGGAAGGGGGGTGAAAGTGTCCAGACTTGACGTGGTTAAAGAAAGCCTTTTGCATTCAAACACATGTTTTGGACTACAGACCACGCTAAATTTTCTTCATGTTTTTGCTTCTACCACAAAAATGATCCATTCATTTTAACCAATGATCACTTTCTTTGTCTACTCTATACAGGGCGCACTCCCAACACTGCAGCTCTGAATGCAGCCAAACAACTCATTGCTTGTGGGGTGGCCAGAAACGTCATCAAAAGCAACTATGTCTTGAAGGGACACCGAAACGTGATGAGCACAAGCTGTCCCGGAGATAGGCTCTATAACGTAATTAAAGGATGGCCTCGCTTTAAAGCTTGAAGGGCATCAACATGTTTGCTGATTCAAAGATCTCTAACATAGCTGCTACAAAATCCTTTAATATGGCCTCAATCTAAAGCTCTTCAGTAAAGATGAGATCAGGTTTGGTCTGAACTTGGGCTTGAACCGAACCCAGACAAAAGCTGTCACTCCTGCCTACTGCTGTCCAATCAACTGCGGCCAGGTCATTTCCGACCCTGCAGCTGCACATACACAAAGGGTCAGGGATGCTCATGAGATCATGGACCTAATAGGGCCACAATGTCATTGACTTAATGTGGCCAGGTAGCCCTATTAGGTCAATAATGTCACAAGCATCCCCACCCCTTTGAGTACACGCAACTCTGGGGCAGGGAAAGTCCTTGCTGCAATTGATTGGATGGCAGTGTGTGTGAGTGACAACTTCCTTTCTGGTTCATGAGATCATGGACCTAATAGGGCCACAATGTCATTGACTAAATGTGGCCAGGTGGCCCTATTAGGTAAAAAATGTCACAAGCATCCTCACCCCTTTGAGTACACGCAACTCTGGGGCAGGGAAAGTCCTTGCTGCAGTTGATTGAATGGCAGTGTGTGGGAGTGACAGCTTCCTTTTTGGTTCATGAGATCATGGACCTAATAGGGCCACAATGTCATTGACTTAATGTGGCCAGGTGGCCCTATTAGGTCAATAATGTCACAAGCATCCCCACCCCTTTGAGTACACGCAACTCTGGGGCAGGGAAAGTCCTTGCTGCAGTTGATTGGATGGCAGTGTGTGTGAGTGACAACTTCCTTTCTGGTTCATGAGATCATGGACCTAATAGGGCCACAATGTCATTGACTTAATGTGGCCAGGTGGCCCTATTAGGTCAATAATGTCACTAACATCCCACCCCTTTGAGTACACGCAACTCCGGGGCAGGGAAAGTTCTTGCTGCAGTTGATTGGACGGCAGTGGGTGGGAGTGACAACTTCCTTTCTGGTTCATGAGATCATGGACCTAATAGGGCCACAATGTCATTGACTAAATGTGGCCAGTTGGCCCTATTAGGTCAATAATGTCACAAGCATCCTCACCCCTTTGAGTACACGCAACTCTGGGGCAGGGAAAGTCCTTGCTGCAGTTGATTGAATGGCAGTGTGTGGGAGTGACAGCTTCCTTTCCGGTTCATGAGATCATGGACCTAATAGGGCCACAATGTCATTGACTTAATGTGGCCCTATTAGGTAAAAAATGTCACAAGCATCCCCACTCCTTTGAGTACACACAACTCTGGGGCAGGGAAAGTCCTTGCTGCAGTTGAATGGATGGCAGTGGGTGGGAGTGACAACTTCCTTTCTGGTTCATGAGATCATGGACCTAATAGGGCCACAATGTCATTGACTAAATGTGGCCAGGTGGCCCTATTAGGTCAATAATGTCACAAGCATCCTTACCCCTTTGAGTACACGCAACTCTGGGGCAGGGAAAGTCCTTGTTGCAGTTGATTGGATGGCAGTGGGTGGGAGTGACAGCTTCCTTTTTGGTTCATGAGATCATGGACCTAATAGGGCCACAATGTCATTGACTTAATGTGGCCAGGTGGCCCTATTAGGTCAATAATGTCACTAACATCCCCACCCCTTTGAGTACACGCAACTCTGGGGCAGGGAAAGTCCTTGCTGCAGTTGATTGGACGGCAGTGGGTGGGAGTGACAACTTCCTTTTTGGTTCAGCTCAAACCCAAGTTTGGACCAATCCCAAGCTCATCCTTACTCTTCAGTAGTATATGAAGTCAATGAAAATTTTACCAATGATACCTGCATGTGCTTTCTGCTTTTACAAATCTATCTAAACCCAAAACATTTTTTTAGTTTTGGATCCCATAGTTTGTAATGTTGGATTTTTATCAGTAAATACAAAGCATCCCCTGATTAGCCGACTGGAAGAGGTGGGCAGGTGACATCAGAATTTCCACCTCGGAGAAACAAGGGATGCCTTGTATTCACTGATAAAAATACAAAGATCAATGGCGGAGATGCCACACGACCAACTCTGTATCAGGGGGTAGAGGGAAAGTCTATCATACTGCTTCAACACAGCAATGTTTACTGCACAAGCTACAATAGTATATTACCACCTAAGTAGCAGCCAGTCCCTTTTGGCATGTTAATAATTTAAAGTACCTGGAAACCTAGAGTTCTCTTTTAAAACCCCTGTCAGGTAATGTTTTGCTTTTTGTGTATCACTGGGGAAATTTCCCTTTACATCCTGTAAGATAGACACAACATGGAGTTAAAGAAAATCTCCCAAAGTGAAGGAAATTAGGTAGGTGTCCCCATTGGAGGAGTTTCCCTCACCTCTTGTTTTGGGGACAACTCAAAATTTTGGGATTTCTCCTCATCTTCTTTCTAGAAGACAATGGTCACCAGTAAAAACAGAGTGGAAAATGTCCCAATTTGGTACCCAGACAACAATAAACACTTGACAGATGTTCTAATCCTTCCATATTCTATCCAAACTAAAAAAAAAAAGTTTTGTATAGAGATAGACTATAAGTCAGAAATGGTAATGTCAATATCCTACTCTTTGCAACTATGGTCAAATATGTTCTTTATTGCAAGCAAGTAAAAAAATAAATAAAAATATATCACATGTGACCTATGTGTTTATTGTTACATTAATTTCCAAATTAATTTAAAAATAAGGGGTGTAGAAGTCAGTATGGGCAGAAAATAGGGGTCCAGCAGAGCTGTGTACAAGAGGTCAGTAAGGCAGTACAGGGGGCCAGTAGGGCAATGTACAGGGGGTCAACAGGACAGTGTACAGAGAGTCAACAGGGCAGTGTACAGGGAGTCAGCAGGGCAATGTACAGGGAGTCAGCAGGGCAGTGTACAGAGAGTCAACAGGGCAGTGTACAGGGAGTCAACAGGGCAGTGTACAGGGAGTCAACAGGGCAGTGTACAGGGAGTCAGCAGGTCAGTGTACAGGGAGTCAACAGGGCAGTGTACAGGGAGTCAACAGGGCAGTGTACAGGGAGTCAACAGGGCAGTGTACAGGGAGTCAACAGGGCAGTGTACAGGGAGTCAACAGGGCAGTGTACAGGGGGTCAACAGGACAGTGTACAGAGAGTCAACAGGGCAGTGTACAGAGAGTCAACAGGGCAGTGTACAGGGAGTCAGCAGGGCAGTGTACAGGGAGTCAGCAGGGCAGTGTACAGGGAGTCAGCAGGGCAGTGTACAGGGTGTCAACAGGGCAGTGTACAGGGAGTCAGCAGGGCAGTGTACAGGGGGTCATCGGGGCAGTGTACAGACGTCAGCAGGACAGTGTACAGGGGTCACCGATTCAGAGTACAAAGGTACAGAGGTCAGAGAAGAAAAGTACAGGGGGCAGCAGGGTAGTGTACAGGGGTCAGTAGCCTGTAATTGCAATTTTCCCTACATGCAGAGCAGCACAGGGAAGTGGCAGTGACACATTGTTTTGGCTAGCTGACCCTTGCTGGGATCAGTTGTTTGTAGAATAGTGTGCACAGGGGTCAGTAGTTTTAAGAGCTGTGTACAGAGGTCAGTATTTTGTAGGGCATTCTTTAGGGGTCAGTAGTTTGCAGAGAAGTGTACAGGGATCAGTAGTTTGTAGGGCCTCTGTGCAGGGGTCATCAGGGCACGGTATGGAAGTCAGCAGGGCAGAGTACAGAGGTCAGGAGGGCAATTTACAGAGGTCAGCAGGCCTGGGTATATTGGTTAGCAGGGCAGTGTAATGGGGAGGAGAAGAAAAAAGTTAAGTAGGAAAGGAAGCAAAAGGAGGAAAGAGAAACCAGGAAAGCAATTTATCTCACCCGGGGCCTCATAATAACAGACTCAGGAGGCTCAGCTGGGTTGTGAGACCTCCTGCAGATAGGCATTGGTATAAACAAAAAATATTGACCCGGTCTCCATGTGTTACAAAAGGTCTCCTCCTGATTATATAAAGTAGTCCTGAGGTCTTCCATGTCCCTGAGTTCATTGATTTTAGAAAACCAAAGAGACTTTGAAGGCGGAATCACAGACCTGCAGCACAATCCCAAAAATGTGTAACAAAGTCATGGGCACCCTGTACCATCTAGTCAGGATCTTGTAGCTGGTCTCCTGGACCTTTGTGGCAATAGAGGACTTCTGGGCAAAGTGAAGAATTTTCTCCTTCTGTGAATCGGGTGAATTGCATGGCAAGATCAGATTCCCACAAAGGCAGGGGTATCACACAGATTGATTTTACATTTCACCCAGGGCTGCTCTAGTAATAATATTGCATATCTAATGGTGACAATATCAACAGACCAGCTTGGAAACATATGATACTGTGGTGTGCAAAGCAAAGGAGAACTGAAATCACATTCCACAGATATCAATAGACATAGTGATACATTAAGCCAGTAACAACACTTTGTGGCTAATGGGTGACCACAATTTCTTGTCTGATATTAGTCACTAGGGAACCTCCGCATGTCTCACATGATGTAATTTCTTCAAGACGAAGACTATTAAACAAACCATTAAATATTTTCCTCTCAACGTTTTCAGTTTCGCAATTGGTATGCCATCAACAGAAAGTTTTACCAAAATCTGGAAATAGAATTATTCTTGCTAAGGTGTCTTTGAAGGCTGAGAAGTCCAGGATTACAAAATGTGAAGCGTGTCTAAACCTGAGAATAAAAATGTAATATATTTCAGCCTACAAGTCCTCAGATGTGGTGGCTGCATTGGAAAACAAAATATGTTCCTCTCTTTTCCTTTCTCTCTATCTGTATAACATATAATGAGTAGTGTTGGGTTTATGATCAAGTTGAACATAAGTTCGACTCGAACATCAGCGTTCTGTGAACACTTGAACAGTAAGGTCAGTATTTTTGCCCCTGCCCCAAAGCACCCCCCCAATGTTAAGGGCATGTGGACTGGTATGGTTCAGGAGGGGGGGGCGCTCGTTCATTCCCTGCCCTTTCCTGACCTGCTTCGATAAGGATAGATTTTGGGGGGGACCCCCACACCATTTTTGAAAAATTTTG